AAATCTGGCTATATTAGTAACGCTGGACAGAATCCCATAGCTCTTTTAGTGACATGTAAAGCTCTTAGGTAATTGTCTTAAAAAGAAACATTCATTGTGTGAATTATTAGTCCCTTCCCCACTCTGTCATACATATGACACAGATGGAAAGTCTAGTGCTGTGTATATGTATATTACATATATATATAAATTGTGGTCATTGTTGCATTAACATAAGAACAGTCTTGAAACTGGTTCCCTCCATTTCATATTAACCTTTTGTTGTTCAATATTGTTTTCTCCTTGCCTGAACCAGAGCTGTTTTCATTTTCTGGGTGTTGTGAAAATTGAGGTATGACTTGAATTATACACGTTGGATGATGTCTTTGCTTTGATACTCCCTAGCACCCGCACTAGAGATGGATTTGTTTGTTTTATTCATTTAGCAAAGTGCCCATTATAGAGTGCTGAACCATACTCCTGACACTGGGATAGGCATGTGAGGGGTAAGAGGAGGTGCATGGAGGATAACACAAAGATGTATATGACACTTTTTCATTGTGTGTGACCTTTTCTGGAATTTTGTCTTTACACAAAGAATGAATTTCTTTTTTTGAAAGTAACTTTTTTAACCTCCAAGGACACAGATGATCAGCTCTAACTTATGCCATTGCCTTTGAGAACTTGGTGTCTCTTAGAAGCTTTGGCTGTTCTGGGAGGTCCAGGCCAGGCCAAAAGGATTCATCTACTCACTGCCTTGCAGCCAAGGCCAACTGACACCATGCATGTTTTCCACTTTACCTCCTCAGAGGCCACAGACCCAGCCAGAAAGAAGCTGCTCCTGTGGTCTCTGAAGTCAGCCCCAGCTGTGAAGGCTGCAGCATCTTTCCAATGCCTTCTGCTGTTTTCTTGGAGCCTGCAGTGCACTCTGCATTACTTAGGGAGTTCCAACTGGAATAGCTCTTGAGGGCCCTGCTAGAAATTTGCATCACAAAGGCCAAAGATGCCAACCTTCTTGGGCTTTGTCAGAGATTGTGTGACAGAAAATTCCCTAAACAGGATCTGCCCCCTCCTCATCCCTTTCACTTTCTCTCTGTGTCTTTGTTCTTCACCCTGGTAATGGAAATGAGAAGGGTCACACAGCCCATTTGAAGAAGAGATTATCTTCTGCTGGTGAAAAAAAAAATGCCATTTCTTGGGCTGAGGTGAGAGGTTTCTGGCCACTGTGAAACATCAGCCTTTGCAGAGTAATTTCTCTTCTGGTCACGTTTCTCTAACAAAATGGGTATATTGACACACATACACACGCACACACATACTCACACACACATACTATTCCATTGAGGGCAATAGACAAATGTTGCAACAAAAATCTCTCTTCTCCTTACGCGTAGTCTGAAGCCAAAGTGAGGATGCAAATTTGAGGAGTAAGAAGCACTGTGACTCAGCATCGAGTTATGTCTGTGCTCTGGTCAGAGAGAGCTCTCCAAGGTCAGGGATGCTGGAGGAGGCGGAACTCATATAAAAACCATAAGCATGCTCAGGCCCCAGGCCAGAAAGTTATTTTGAAACTTTACAGCCACTGCTTTATATATTACACACACATGCTCTTTATTTCAAAACCATTTTAAACTTACAGAAAACATGCAAGGACAGAACAGAAAATCTTAACTTGTTCTTTGCCCAGAAACCCCATTTAAGTTTCACCCATCACCTTAGCTCTGTCCTTTAATGGAGAGACTCTAACTCCAGGTAGCACCTTGCATCCAGTTGGCCTGTCTCTCCTGGTCTCTCCAACCTGGATTGTTCTTCACTCATTCCTTTTCTTTAATGACTTTGGTGTTTTTAAATTATAGGCCACCCATTTTGTAGAATAACCTCTAATTTGGGTTTGTTAAAGGGTAATTTGTTAAACGTAATTTTCAGGGAAAAATAAAATCATAATTCTCCTACAGATGTGAAAATTGATTATACAAATTGGGTAATTCTTATCACACCCAACTAAGTCACAGTTGAGAAGCTGAGGCAAAAACCACATGGGCATATGGTACCTGCTCCAAGAATTGAATTGTCTGCAAGTCCAGCTGCTAAGGTGGCCTGATGTAACCCTAAGACCAGTTTTATCTAGTAGCTGCTGAAATGACCTGCTGTGACTCTAGGATTGGTTTTAACTATCACTGTCACTCACCAATCAGAGCTTAGCATCTCTCAAACACTTTAATGCCTATAAGCTTTATTTCAAAACCATAGGCAACATTCTTATTTCTAATAAAGCTCCTAACCTTTTCTTTGTTCCTCAGACATAACCAAAGACTACTAGTCTATGTGTATGCTTTGAATTGCAATTCTGTGGTTCCCCAATAAAATGTTTAATTTAGAGGTTTCCCTCCATATTACATGTTGACTTCAGATATACAAATCAACAGGTGTTAAAACAATTTATTTGATTCATATGATGTGATGAAACCTGTCAGATGTTATAACTTTAAAGGAAAAGTTAAAAGATCACAAATTTATATGGAGGAAAGGATTGTTGAGATGAATTGCAAATGGAGACAAAACTGGCTTTCCACCACTGGAAAGGAAGTCAGTTAAATCACTGCCAGACAGGATGTATATATATGTATTTCCATCAGTTCCTCAGTTTACAGAGAGTTATAAAAAAACTCAAAGCCAACAGGACTAGAATCTGATAGCCCGAAAGCATATGTTGTGGGCACTGCTTAGTTTTCTATTGAAACACAGTATTTTGTTTTCTACAGATTTATCCAGTGTTCTCTCATTACAACAAACATCACAACAAAAATTTCTCTTCTCCTTATGGAGAACCATGTTGTATGTCTTTGGCTGGAATATAACAGATGGTTGTGACTTTTTTTTTCCGTTTCGTCCTGTTGATGGCACATGGCATCTGTCTTATTACTGGTGTTAACTTTGACCACTTCATTCAGATAGCCTTCCAGATGTCTCCACTGTAATACTTTCTCCCTACCTTAGCAGTTAATTCATGAAGAGTATGTAGGAAGACACAGTGAAACTGTAAAGCCCCACTCCTCACCCCAGTTTCACCCGTCAGTTTTGACATTGACATTTCTTATCTGAATTAATTATTGCTTTGATGATTTTCGAAGGGGAATTTTCTAATCCTTCATTTTTTCTACATGTATTCTTTGGTTTTCTTTGGTATTAAGAGCTCTGTTTTCTTCCTGTGTATTTGTTCACCTACATGTTAATCTCCAGTGGGGAGCTCATACCACTTTCTGAGAGCCACTTCTGTACAGCTCTGTTCTGCTCTGTGCCTTCATTGATTTCATGTTGGTTCTTTTAAGTTGGCCATGGTGAGAGTAATTACACTGTGGAAATTGGAAAATAATACCAAGCAGATATGTGTGTTTTTCCACAGAGATCTGGTGTTTCAACATCAGTACATCACTCTATAACACTGTGGACTCATTCATTCCTGTTTTATTCGGTAGGCTTAATCTATCACTATGATTACTGATTTTGATGCTCAACATGTCCCAGATTTGTTATGTGGGAGCTCCTTCAAGCTGACTTCTGTGTCTCATTATGTTTTTGAGCATTTCTTTACTTTATGGCTCAACAAGATGTTCCAGAATAATCTAGATCTCCTTGCCCCACCGCTGGCATGAGCCACTTCCCCAAGGGAGCCCCAGTTCCTTTTAGTAGAGTGTAGCCTCTGGCCATTGCGTGCTGCCAACTTCTGCTCAGGCCTGCCTCTCCCCTCTTCCTTTCACCCTTTCACCCTGCCCAAAATGCCTTTTTGATGAAGGAAGGAAGGGAAATAATAAGTATTTTAAAAAGAAAGACAGGTAAAGGAGGGGAGGGGAAGAGGAAGAAAAAGACTCTTTATATACATTTTTAATCCCCTTCCCACAAATTTTACCAGAGACTAAATCTAGTCTTCGCCTGGTAATTTGGGTTTCTGTAGTGGTTACGTTTTATGTGGTTGAGAGTGTGAGAATTTCTGAAAAACAAAATCATTTGTCAACTGTGTATTGAATCCTACTCTGGATGTGCCTCACCTTACACTAGTGTCGCAATGCAGAACCCTGGCCCTCAAGGAGCTAGAAGGACAGCGAGATGTGCTGAGACTTATAGCCAATGTGTCCTCAGGGCCTGTGGACTGCAGATGTAGGCACCACCTCTGCTGTGTGAGGAAGAGAAATCAAAAGTCAAAGAGACTTCCCAGAGGAGCCTAGAATGAGATGAGTTTGGGGGTAGGACTTTGTGAGTTGGGCAAAGAGGGGGCAGGTGTTTCATACAAAGGGAAGATCATACTTAAAGCCAGAGAGATTTGGCAGACATGAGGAATGGGGTATGGTTTGGCCAGTTTCGAAACACTTGTTTCTTCATATTATTGAGTCTAGTTTTTTTTTTTT